ACGAAGAGATGAAGAGCGCGTCGTTGGCTTCTCTCTTCGCGAATCCGAAATCTGTAGTCCCGAGAATTATCTATCGACTGAACTCTCTTGATAGGGCGGCTATCACTTAATAAGCTCGATTAATTATTAGGCGCTTCTTGATGCTCCTCTCGATACTTTGAAACACTTGTTCGTCTAACTCCATTCAGTTAAGCTTTACTTCGTTACTTTTACACAAACTCGGTGTGACGTTATTTCGATCGATGATTCTTCCGTATATAAGATGTTTCTGTTAACGAGAACATTGGCGGTATTAAGTTGAACAAACAAAATTCGCAGGTATCTTGTAATTTGATGATTTATCCAATATTTCATCAAATAGGTTCCAAGAAAGTGGCATTTTTTTCTTGTTTAATAGAGCGATTTATTTTTGTATTTCGGTGAGCTTCTGTAAGATACCTTCGACCTAAGTGATAATCGATTTCGGCGAGTATAACAAATGGACTGCTCGAGACTGCAGCCGTCGTCGTCGTCGTCGTCGTCGTCGTTGTCGTCGTCGTCGTCGTCGTCGTCGCTATTCGTCTTCCTCGTAACTTCGCGGGGTCCTTGAACCGCCGAGTAACGTTTCCTCACAGATATTACGTCTCTCCGTCTATCTGGCGGCCGTCCTTCCCCGGCTTCGACGTTTCTTGCATTTGCATTTACACCGCTACTTGATAAGATTTGATTCGTCCGCGGGTAATGATGAGCGAGAATTGCGACGAGCTAGATATTTAAAGTTGTGCATTGAAAACTTCGCGCACGAAATCTTCTCGTGTATAAATAACGGACTTGATTTACGGGCGAGTCGAGCGATAAAGATCGATTCAGATCGATACAAATTGAAAGAACGAAGAATATAAACGCAATCATTTGAAGAGAATAAATTTTTTTTTTTTTCGAAAAATAGGCAGCACTTTTCGAAAGTTTAATATATAATTATAATATTATCATTGAAGACTTCGCACTTCGTCACTAAACGTTGATGTCTTTCCGTAAGCCATTTCTTTTATATGTAATGAAAGATGTTCACAAATCCGATTATCGTTCGTTAAGTTACGCAATCAGCGCAAAAATCATTGTTTTGCCGAGTTTCCATTTTAGCTTCTTCTTGCAAACAAGTGGGGGACATCATCCGAAAGTTCAACCCATTATTTTTGGGGTTCGCGATCGAGACTGGGTGCCTTTACATCGAGATCCCTCGTTCTTGCTCTCGTGTGACTGTTTATCCTCTTTTTTTTCCTCTTTATAAAAAAATTCTGTTTTTTTCTTTCTTTCTTTTTTCTTTCGTTCTCTCTCCCTTATTATGGGATAAACATTTTCCTGGCAGCGCGAGCGCGGACTTGCTCGCCGATTTTCAATGGTTTATTAGCCCGCCGACTTTTCACATGAGCCATCTCGCTGAAAGATAAATCAAAAGGAAAAGAAAATCAGAAACCAAAAACAAAATGACGAATGTACGGCACGATCGAAAAGAAAAGAAATGTAATCGCGTTTAAGAAATAATAAAGACGCATGTATAACCGCAATCGCATGCGAATACGATTTGTTCAGATTTGTAGAAACTATGAACTATTTCGATTTGTTCACTTAAAGATGAAGTTCTTCCAGAATATACAATTAAACCTTCGTATTCTTCATTCTCGTTTAAATTTTTCGAGTAACTCTTCTATTTTAAATTCCTTTTTTATAGAGTCTCCATTCATATTCTAAGAATTCCTTTACAGAAACAATATCTCGAAAAATTTCTCGTTAATACTTAAAATGATAAAATGAAAAAGTTATGGCGATTTTACAGTTTTTAAAATTTTTCATTATAATTTTTCTTACAAACTTTTTCTAACTTTTTTAAGAATCTTTTTTACATAGGTCTAGGGTTTGTTGTGGAATATATATATGCATAAAAGATATTTAATTAAAATTATTGCAAAAAATGAACATGTTAGGAGATGTCTCATATTTTATTATGTTATAATGTATCAGAATAAAATATGAAATATCGCATATAATATTCATTGTTCGATGATTTCATCCTAATACTCCTACCCGTAAAATAATTCGAAGAGAATTCGATTTGTAAGAGAAAACAGAGTTTTATTCAAAAAATAAAGAAATTATCTTCTCTCCTGCCTCCTTAGCAGATCCGACAACAATAACCCGTTAAAGATCTCAACAAATAAAAAAAAATTTTTCACTATTCATAATTCTATTTCCAAGAGAGAACACAATTTATTTAAATCTTATAATACCTGGAAAATATTTTGTATACATAATACTTGATGCAAGACGTTATCGTGTTTCTTGATTTTTCGACGATAAATAAGAAAAAATCTATTGCCGTTCATAAATAATGTATTGAGAATAATTATTTCAAAACTGTTTATGGTAAGCCTTGCGATGAAAAAATAACGAATCTACACATTTCCAATGTAAAGATTCTTTTTTTTCTGCATTTTTGTGCACGACGAGATAAAGATGATGAATTTCATGACACTTCTTTAGGTACAATCGCGTCGAGAGATTTTAGGCAACTTCCCAAATGCTCCACCCTGTATATCCCGGCATTTTCGCACGATCGGTGGAGAAGAGGACGCAGAATCGCCGGCGAATCGTGAGAGAAACAAGGAGAGGGCATAGAGGAGAGGAAAAAAGCCCAGAGAGCACGAGAGAAACACGAGGCGGAGAGTGAGAAAAAGTGAATGTCATTGCCGTAATCTTCGGACGTTGACTTCTTCCTGGCTCGTCCCTCCTTCTTCTTCTTCTTGGTAGCAATCCTCTCCCCTCTTCCTCCTACGGTAATATCCACCCCTCTTCTTCCTCATCGTTCTCTTTGTCCTCTCTTTCTCTCTCGTGCTCTCACCTGTACGTGTCTCACTTCGAGTCCTCTCCGCCCTCTTTCTCTCTCCATCTTACCCGTTTTTTCTTCCTTTTCGCGATATCCATACCTCTCTCCTGCCCTCTCGGCTGGCTCTGTTTTTTCGTCTTGCAAATTTCAAGTGTTTTGTGACAATTCGCGCGGTTAGATATTCGTCGGCCGATATGCAGAGTGCAGCGATCGAGCAGATCGAGTTGCAACGATTGAGCAAAGTAATACAATGGAGATGTAATAACGTTTTCGATTCAAGGTATCAGAAAATTTGTGAAATTATTTAGCCATTATTATTATCGATCGTTTGGAATAATTCATGTGATAAAACAGCTAATAAAAATGTAATTTTTTTCGACTTTGCCAAATCGTCCCTTAATGGTCTTTCAGTCAATCCGTCATGTAACTATGACATACGAATTGTCGACTAGCATGTTTCCGGCAGCAATATCGTGTATGTTTTTGGGCAATCGACGTACCATCTCACCGTGTAATGAAACAAACAATATTAATCTTTTTCAATTATGAGTAGAGCGTGAATTTTTGCAAAGCCCCAAAAGATCGTTTTGAAAATTGTTCGCGAATCTGCAGCATAGAACAACGGCTAAAAAATGAGAACATTTCTTTCAAATAGCTTTCCAACGTAACATAGGTCGCCAGTGTCGTAGCGATCAATTAATGTCAATTTTTTTCAAGATTGTGTTTCGCGCTAAACATGTTTGAATAAAAGTCTAAATATTTTTAAACGTAAAATATACAAGGTAAAAAATGTTTAATAATTAATCATCTTTTCTCAATACTTGCTTTTTGCAAACAATTATTAATTCACTTTGAAAATATAAATAATCTACGAATATATCACTGATTGTTTTTTTTTTTTAAGAATTATTTTTTCCTGTAATATCAAATACATGAAATACCCAAAAAACATTCTTGAAATATTTAAATAGAAAAAGATCGAGGTAAATCAGAGAAATTGAGAGAGAAAGAGAGAAAGAAACAAAAAAATGTAATCTAATTTCAATAAAGAAAAATCAAAGTAATAATTTCGATTTTCATTAAAGAACATCGTTTCGATCTTAATGATCAAAAATGTAGCCTTTATCAAATATCCTATACAATACACGAAAATACTATTTCCATATGATATAATATAAAATTCCTCTTACAAATCTTACACTTCGTTATTAAAAATTTACGAATCATGCGTTTCCACCGATTGATATCGATACTTTGAAAGGGGGATAACATATTTTTTTTATCTTGCGATTTGGGCGAATTTCGTCGACGCGACGCGCCGACGGATTTCGCGGCCTCGCAGACGATCGTTTGTCTCGCACATTGCCCGCTCGGTTCCGCGTTCCATCCGCGTCACAAGTCAGTGCGTTCACCTTACGCTCACGAGTGGAGATCTCGCGTGCGCGCGCGCGCAAGAAGATTTCTCTGGGATCGCGATCGAGCCGAGCCACGTGCTCGCGCTATCACCGAACGCCGTCGTCGAATGGATCCGCGATGGATCAGCACCACGTGACGTTCATTCCACAGTGAACGCACTTCTTGCGACCAGGAGCAGAGAAACTCGATATTTCGAAAATTAATTAAGGGATTAGATAGAGATATGAAGAGAGAGAGAGAGATGACACGTTGCTGCGCCTCCAGTAATTGCTCAAGTAATACAATTAAAATGTCACGACGGTCAATTAAAATTTTCGTTCTATCCACGTTCCAAACGGCGTTGTTTTAAAGAATATTGTAATGTATTGTAATGATTTATTTTATAGCGATCTGCCATCGTGCATAATTATTTTATGATTTACAATTTAGCATATTGTCCTTTTTTGCAAGCTCTCATAACATCTTGCTTTTTGAAAACTTGACAATGAGATATCCGATATTATGTTCTCCGATCCATCGATTCAAAATTTAAAAGAATCATCTAATTTAAAACGATTGTGCGTAAATATATATGTATTTCTAAAGCGTTGGACGAAATTGTATATAT